TGATAAAATCCACCTAATTAATATCGTTGTGCATTCTGCAGATGTCACTTAAAGACAATAGCTTTTAAAAATTAATGATCTCTAAGTAAGTTCAAGTGCCTTTCATCATATGCAGCATATCATGAGTGCTAGTGAAGAGAGCAGATCATATTGTTTCTGTCTTTTAACAGTTCCTAAAGTATAAGTCAGGTTACAAATTAAATAGTTTTTAATATATGCTACCATGTACTTACCTAGTGAAACTTGACTGAGTAGCAGTGCGTCACTTCCACTTTGCACAAATCTCAGCACAATCTAGATACAGTTTCACTGCATGGAAGGGGAAAAAGTAGCCGCATCTAAAACAGCTGTCAACCACAGTGGTTATATTGAAATAGAAAAAAAAACATCACAAGAAAAAAAATCCCTACCTGGAAAAAATGTATACATCAATAAATAAAAGGCACTGTTCTGTGCCATGCAGTTCAGAATCTTTCTTTCCAAATAAACCAATGACATAAAAGTAATGACAGTGCAGTGATATAAACCTTTTACAGTGCAGCTGTGTGTCAGCTCATTTTTGGCATTAAGTTTCACCAATTAGTAATGCTATGCTGGAATCACACCACATGGCAGTGACTGTCTCCTAAGGTAGCCTATGTAGTAATATGAGAAAACACAGAGTTTAGTTTTATTCAGTGTTGCCATGTTGCTAGCTATATATGACAAAACTAGCGGATCCTGTGAATGTGTAAATAAAGGTACATTACATTTTGTGGGGACCCTGCAGTTCTGGATTAGTTGCTTAGGATGGAGTATGGTACTCCAGCACTGGAAAAAAAAAATAGCTTCCTCTGTAAGTCCTATCCTTGTTTCTGGACATTGCCAATACTGTAACATCATCCTAAACGAACAACAAGACAAAAGGTGAACAAGAGTGCTTGTTTCAGAAGCTGTAGCCAAGACATCCGGGAGGAGGGGGGCTCACCATGTTTTTGCTGCATCGCTATTTTTGTTTGCCCTGGCTATATTAAACTTTCAGGACTTGCTGCAAAAACACGCTAATCTCCGAGCGCCGTCAGGAACACGTATGTCTGGCTCTAAGGTTTCTGCTGGACGCGGCCTTTGTCGAGTTGAAATTTGTCATATCTTCCTCCCGCCGATGTCTGTCCCCGCTTCACGTTTTTTCACTGTTATTTGTCAACAGAGTCTCTCCTTAGGTCACCAGTGACACACCAGCACTGCAACTTAATTACCCACAAACCTTTGGGAGAAATAACCAAGAAGTCCCTCTTATCACTGTGACTCTTCTGCCAGAGGTAATGTGAAAACTCCTTCCGTGCTTTTACTCTGTCACCATGCATTTCATCCTTGGGGCTAGCTTTTCTTCCTCATCTGACCTCTCTCTCATCCCTCTCCCTCCCTTGAGAAAGTTCCACTTGGTGGCCTTTCTCCGGGGTGACTGATGGCTCCTCTATGGGCAGACTCATCCAGACTTAATTACCCACAAGCCCCTCGGAGGGCAAATGCAGAGTGACCGAGGCATGCGCACTATGTCATCCCCTCTCCCCCTCTTGCTCCTTTAGTCCAGCATCGCTGAGTGGATTGTTAAAGCCCATCCACTGTGTCTATTTTTCACTATGTTACATAATAAAACCGCATTTGTTTTTTGGGCGGGTGTGGATGTGGGGGGTTCTTCCTTGAAAGAGGATGCGATTAGCATAAGTATTACCCCCACCCCCACCCCAGTTTTTCCAGTTTAACCAGACTTCAAACCAGCAGAAATGTTCTTGTTAAATTTTCAGACAGACCAGCGGGGCCTCTGATTGGTCACAGTTAAGCTTCAGTGCTGCTGGCTAACAAAGTTTGTCATGCCCAAACACCCAAAGTGGTATTGTGAAAAAAACAAAACCCCAAACACGGGATTGTACACTCCAAATCAAGACAGAGGCTACTTGTATTCCTCTGCAAATGCCCTTGATGCAGCTCACACCCACACACAACACACCGGGATCGATTTGAAAATTTATTTTCATATAAAAAAGACACTATGAAAACATTAGAGGACTACTTTGTACAATCTTATGTATAAAAAGAACAAAAATGGAGAAAGGGATGAGTTTTCAGTAATAAACCAGGAATGTTGGATGGTTGTAGCAGTCGGGTTAACACTGAAGCATCAGGGTGGAGGGCGAAGGTGAACATGGGGTGGGGAGTGGGGGGGTTAAGTTGGCTTGAACATGGAGTTGAGTTGCAAATTTTCTCTCCTTAGCTTTGTACTTGTTTGTGTGGGTTGATTTTTGTAAGACTGACAGGAAGAAAAATTGAGATGGCATTCTGACCGGCATCTTCTCGTGGTTAAATATGCATCGCAGAAGAGGAAAACGTTGAAGATTCGAAATGTTAAGACCCAAGATGAATATCTCAATCAGACAGGCAGCGTCTCACTTACCGTTTACTCCGAGAAGAAAACTTAAAAGCCATTCATCACCGCGCCTGAAGCTGTTCATGCCACAATAAAAAAATCGGGGAGGGGGGCTGTATCAAAACGTCACATTGTGTGAAAATCAAACCTGACTATTTCTTTTCTGCTTGTGGGTTTCTGATGGGAAGGGGGTTGGGGGGGGGGGGGGGGTCTACAAATGATTGGTTTCTCATGGACTCACATGGGGGCCTGGCAGACAGTCGCTTTGTTCTGTTGGACACACTGTGCAGTAGATCTGGAAAAGCAGAGCCTCCTCACAGAAGGTCAGGTGAATGTGACCTTAGCTCGGCAACTTGGGATCAAACCTATCTCGCTCCTCTGAGAGAGGGCGAGCTGTAGGTTTGCTTATCGGCTGATTAACTTGAAAGGTTAGGAGGGCCGCGCTCTTGTCTCACCATCTGCGCTGTGCTGCTCTACTACCACATTAGGGATCTTTAAACAGATGGTTTGAGGGCTGCATTGGAAAATGTCAGGACAAATCGCCATCCCCGGATAATTACTGTTTTTGAGCGCTCCCCTTCCTCGGCATCTCTGCCTGCCTCTGGCTTTTTTTCTTTTTTGCCGTGTATATTTAGAACTTTCCTCCTCGGCTACCATTTTTCTTCGTTTCTTCACCCATAAGCTGTCTCTATTTTTTTTTCTATCCACACTGTTAGATTAATGGCAGCTGCTTTGAACATAGACAGAAAAGTTATGGAGCTATCATTTGAATTCATCCTGCACTCTCTGACACTTTCTCTCTGCTGGTGTGTGGAGGACTGATGTGCTAATGTAGCAGCAGCAGAAAACTGGTCGTCCTTTTGTAACCGCTGAAGTACGGAGGTAGAATGTCAAGCAGAAAACATCACCATCGGCTCCTCTTCAGTCTGACACCTTGTAGCCTTATAACCTGTGATTCCCTCCCCGTCTTTCTGCGAGCGGGGAATTACATATCTCTGCTCTGCTGCTAGACTTCATGCCTTCTAGGAGCACGACACTGAGTGGGCAGAGTGAGCAACAGAGGAGTGGCGCTGTAAGCAAAGAAAGGCATGTTTGTAGAGCTCGTGATGAAGTCCTCGGATCGTGTGATGTCTCATTACTGGATTCAAAATCCTCCTCAGGTCATTTGAAGCTAACAGAGGTTTTTTGACTGGGGGAAACTGATCAATTCTTCACTCTAAAGCAGCACATTTCTCAGGATCTCAAAAGCATTCCTTGTAGGCAGAAGTGTCTGAGATATTCTTCTTTTCTGGCTTTACTACGACTGGTGATGGTTGAAATGGAGTCAGATATTTAAGTCTTATACTACTCTTTTCTTTAAGCAGCAGAGGGGAAAAGAAGGAGATGCATGAATCTGCATGAGTCGCATCCTTTTTTGTTCCCTCTATTGGGGGCAGTGGGCGGGGGATCTCACGTGGTGCACATTATGTCAGAAAGCAAGCTCACATTTATGTGCTGTGTAACTGTTTACAGGAAATAAAACAAATAGATATATAATAAGAATGAAAAAGCATCACAAGCACAAACCCAACCAAATTCTCCAAATGAATCGATTCTTTTTTCATCAATGGGACCATAGAACACAACTCGGTTGGTAGTTATTTGTTTCAGTCGTGTTATTTTTCCTGTAGGGGAGGACATTTGTTTTTTATTTTGGGGAACCAAACCATAAAAAAAACATACCGAGTGAAGGAATGTGATGTTAACACAAAGAGTGCGATAGGAACGGGTGAATAAAAGTGTTGAAATGAAACCTGAAAAACAGAAGAGAGGATGGCACATATCATCGAGAGGCTCTGTCCCCACCCTCCGCCCCCACCCGCCCCCACATTCCCTGTCCGTTCAAATAAGAAAAAAAAGAAAAGAAAAAAGGAATAGATAAAGACTGACCAATTTGATTCTCAAGGGGGAAAGCAAATTGAGAACAGGGTGCCTTGGAAGGGAGGAGGAGGAGGGGAGGCTACCCAAGTGTGAGAAACCTCAGTGAGATCTTTTCCCCTTGCTATAAAACAAATATCTCCCACCCCCACCTCAAAGTCATGAAACAATTGAAAGAGGTTATCTTTTTTTTATCTTCTCCAGAATAAAATCAAGACAATTTCTCGGAAATAAGTTTTTCATAGTTTTTTTTTCTTTTTTCTTTTAAAGTTCATTTAAAAATCTTCTCTTTTTTAATCAGTCACAGACATGTCAAGCCCCTGTTCTTTCTTTTCAATAGTCTTTGCGAAAATATAGAGTAGAACAGTCTTCTTTCCATGTCTGTCCGCTGCAGCAGTAAACATACACTATGGGATCCGACAGAGCACATCGCAGGAGATGGGGAGGCGGGGAGTAGTAGAGAGTGTGTGTGATCCTTGCAGAGAACTCGTGTACCTATGTATAGCTTTTCAGTAGTCCGGTGTCTCTGTGTGCATCTGCACCTCGGCACGAGAGAGCGTGTCTGTTTCAGTGGGTGTCTTCACACGTCTGCGTGTCTTCACACTTCAGTCTGGAAGTCTCCCTCGGATGAGTCGGGGGTGTTAGCCGAGGATGAGTCCCAGTTTTTATTGTGCAGTTCCATCCGGTCCTTCTGCTCCCCGGGCACGATGGACAGCTCGGGGGTCATGGTCTTGAAGCTGTCCCAAGAGCTTTGGTCCTCTGGGGTTGACTTGTCCTAATAGAGAAGAGGGACAAAGAGAGGGGGCGGGAGGACGACCATGTTAGGAAAATTCTGAAAACGCTTTCATGCCGTCTGATGGAGAATTACATTTTACAAGATAATATTATCCCCGTATCTTTTCCTAATTACAGGCTACAACTAGCACTCATCTGCTTAGTTTAGTGTAAATAAAGAAAAGAGGAAAAAAGAGGAGGAAAAGGAGGTTGATGACCAATGAGTGATAAGCAACATGCTTATCACTCATAAAAAGGTCTACCGAGTGTAATTTGTGCAAAAACTGAAGTGTAAATGTAATTTCACGAGAGAGATGTTTTAGCAGAGCACACGCACCACCCTAGGAAGTTCGGTTTCATTTAACGACCAGAGCAATAACCGCGTTTCACGAGATATCAGAAGTGCAATATTTTTCAGCCTGTGTACCTGCTGTATCTGTGGGTAACACAGTCGTCATGTAAAATAAATGATCGCCACCAGCACAGGGGAGCGCTGATGTTTGGTTTTACCGGCAAATAAAAGCGATTTCGATAATTAGACTGAACTGTTGAGTTGTTTACCGTCCGTGTGATCTTGTAACCGCTCTCGTTCCTTGCCAAGTTGGACTTGTAGCGATTACTCTTGGCCAGTACCAATCACAGTCACCAAAATTCAAATGCTGGCATGCGATGCTTCTGCATATCACTGATGGATGTAATCTCACTGCTTGTTTCATTTTTTTTCTCTCTTTTTTTTTTTGATATATGTGTATATCAACACGATAACAGCTTCTGGGGCTTCCTGGTGACAGGATTTACATTTTTCGTACTTTTTTTCCTAAACTAACAAGCTCATGCCTTCTGCTTCTGGGTCTGTGATGCTCTGTTTTTCTCTCACTGCCAATTATAGCATATTGGCTTATCTGTACATCCAATGTCTGAATTTGGATTTATGATTGTGGGACTGAGATCTGAGCTCATAAATCTGGCTCTGATATTACATCACTGACCTTCAACAGCTTCTCCCCCTGCCTTCATCTAGTCTTCATTCAGACTTCAAAGTAAAAAATACAGCAACAGGGATATATGATGAGTTTGCCAGTACAATGTTAGATACACTCACCAGCCACTTTGTCAAGTACACCTGTTCAACCGCTCATGAACACAAATATCAAACCACACAATCACATGGCAGCTACTCAGCAATCCGAGACCATGTCTGCATGCCTAAATGCTATTAAGATTTTTCTGCAAAAAAATACTCTGGATTTACAGAAAACATTCCAAAAAAGAGAAAATATCCAGGAGCAAAAATGCCTTGTTGATACCAGAGGACACAGGAGAATGGTGAGGATCCTTTGAGTTGATAGGAAGGCAACAGTAACTCTCATAACTGCCCGTTACAAATGTGCAAAAGAGCCTTGCTGAATGCACATTATGTTGTGCACCTTGATACAGATGGGGATACAGCAGCAGAAGCTCACTCCTGTTAGCTAACATCAGGAAACTGAGGCTACAATTTGCATGTAATCACTAAAATTGGACAACAGAAGATTGGAAAATCATTGCCAAGTCTGAATTGTTTCTTTGTCAATTTCTGCTTCTGATATTTGGACGGTCGGGTCAGAATTTGGTGTAAACAGCATGAAAGCATGAATCCATACTGCCCTGTATCATCTCACTGATCGTGGTGTAATATTGGAGGGGATATTTTGCATCACTGAAACATCACAGTATATTTGAGTATAGTTGCTGACCGTGTCAGTCCCTTTATGAACACAGTGTACTCATCTTCTGATGGCTGCATCCAGCAGGATAACGCACCAGGTCACAAAGCTCAGATCATCTCAAACTGGCTTCTTCAACATGACAGTGAGTTCATTGTAGTCACTGGCCTCCACAGTCAGCAGATCTCAATCAATTAGAGCATCTTTGGGATGTGGTTGAACAGTAGATTCACATCATTGGTGTGTGCCTGACAGAGCAGATCTGTAGCAACTGTGTGATGCTATCATGTCAATATGGACCAAAATCTCTGAGGAATGTTTCCAGCACCTTGTTGAATCTATGCTATGAAGAATTAAGGCAGTCCAGTCGGCAACACAGTATGTGCAAGGTGTACCTAATAAAGTGTCTGGTGAGCATAATTAAATCAAAGAAATACGAATAATAGGAATACGAAAATCGGGAAAATGTTTCAAAAAAATCCTGTAAAAACAATTCAATGGGAACATTTTATTTAGCCTGCAGGGAGTTTTGGAGACGGATACACCGCAACATTCAACAAATCATTTCTTAGCACTGCACTTACAGGGTTGTAACAGTGCACTAAATTAGCATTTCCATATGAACCTTGATTTCCAAGTTCTGATATGGGCAAGTTGCACAGATAAGAAAAAACAAAAAATATATATATATTTTTTGTCCATTTCAAGTCTCACTGTAAAGGTTCATGCACTGATTGTTGCATATTACCATCAACAGAAGACCGAGACATTTACTCTCAAGCGAAGATTAAGGAACGTGGACAAGATTTCAGTAGTTACCTATCAAAAATGCTACTTCTGGTCTTTTATTTGCAGAAATGGCACACATCTTCTGTCTCCTAACTCTCTAAACCAGAAATAAACTCACAAAAAGCATGAAAGCTTCTAAGCACGGGGTCTGTGATGGAAGCGTGCGGCCTGCAGATGAGCCCGCCATGCATGTAAAATACATGTCGGGGGATTAGCCAAAAAATGGAATTAGAGGAGGTGGCATTATTCATCAGATAAGGGCCATTATTCAAATTGGACTCGTTATCTCCCGGCAATCTCACACAGTGATTTCACAGACACAAACGGGGAAAGACACCAGGGATCGCTGGAACAAATGACTCTTGGTGGAGCAAAAACATACAAAGACAAAAGAACAAGGTGGACCACTTGTGATGCTTTCCACAGACACAATGAATCCAGCTGCTTTGTTCTTACTGAGCTGGAAATTCATCTTCTAAAATAATCATTCAGAAGATGAATATTTAAAGTATTTTCACTGGTCATCTTAAGAGTAGATGCCCGTCTGGACATATAATTAAGAAGAGAGAGAGCGCTACCGTTTCTGTTCTTCATCGCCACCTCCCAGTAGCTCTCTTGCAGCTTTCACTTTTTTGTTTTGTTTTCCACAATCTTACCTTTGCTTTATTTCAGAAACTCCTCTGAAGTACTCACATATAACTCATTTTGAGTTATTCACACCCTCAGTCCCTGTCTGTCTCCACACACACACACACACACACACACACACAC